CCATTTTAGTTGTTGCTGCTGTTGAAAGTCCTCAAGTGATGTGGTTTCTGTTATTTGGTACAGTCCTTTGTTTGTGATTTCGTAGCACCAGTCCACAAGGTTCAAAGAACGATAATCTTTGCCAAAACACTCAGGCTTCATTATTTTCTCTTTGACTTCCATGTGATATCCATTTTAGTTGTTGCTGCTGTTGAAAGTCCTCAAGTGATGTGGTTTCTGTTATTTGGTACAGTTCTTTGTTTGTGATTCTGTAGCACCAGTCCACAAGGTTCAAAGAAGAATGATCTTTGCCAAAACACTCAGGCTTCATTATTTTCTCTTTGACTTCCATGTGATATCCATTTTAGTTGTTGCTGCTGTTGAAAGTCCTCAAGTGACGTGGTTTCTGTTATTTGGTACAGTTCTTTGTTTGTGATTCTGTAGCACCAGTCCACAAGGTTCAAAGAACGATAATCTTTGCCAAAACACTCAGGCTTCATTATTTTCTCTTTGACTTCCATGTGATATCCATTTTAGTTGTTGCTGCTGTTGAAAGTCCTCAAGTGATGTGGTTTCTGTTATTTGGTACAGTTCTTTGTTTGTGATTCTGTAGCACCAGTCCACAAGGTTCAAAGAACGATAATCTTTGCCAAGACACTCAGGCTTCATTATTTTCTCTTTGACTTCCATGTGATATCCATTTTAGTTGTTGCTGCTGTTGAAAGTCCTCAAGTGATGTGGTTTCTGTTATTTGGTACAGTTCTTTGTTTGTGATTCTGTAGCACCAGTCCACAAGGTTCAAAGAACGATAATCTTTGCCAAAACACTCAGGCTTCATTATTTTCTCTTTGACTTCCATGTGATATCCATTTTAGTTGTTGCTGCTGTTGAAAGTCCTCAAGTGACGTGGTTTCTGTTATTTGGTACAGTTCTTTGTTTGTGATTCTGTAGCACCAGTCCACAAGGTTCAAAGAACGATAATCTTTGCCAAAACACTCAGGCTTCATTATTTTCTCTTTGACTTCCATGTGATATCCATTTTAGTTGTTGCTGCTGTTGAAAGTCCTCAAGTGATGTGGTTTCTGTTATTTGGTTTTCTTTCTTTTTGTTTGTGATTCTGTAGCACCAGTCCACAAGGTTCAAAGAACGAAATCTTTTTTGCCAAAACACTCAGGCTTCATTATTTTCTCTTTGACTTCCATGTGATATCCATTTTAGTTGTTGCTGCTGTTGAAAGTCCTCAAGTGATGTGGTTTCTGTTATTTGGTACAGTTCTTTGTTTGTGATTCTGTAGCACCAGTCCACAAGGTTCAAAGAACGATAATCTTTGCCAAAACACTCAGGCTTCATTATTTTCTCTTTGACTTCCATGTGATATCCATTTTAGTTGTTGCTGCTGTTGAAAGTCCTCAAGTGATGTGGTTTCTGTTATTTGGTACAGTTCTTTGTTTGTGATTCTGTAGCACCAGTCCACAAGGTTCAAAGAACGATAATCTTTGCCAAAACACTCAGGCTTCATTATTTTCTCTTTGACTTCCATGTGATATCCATTTTAGTTGTTGCTGCTGTTGAAAGTCCTCAAGATGATGTGGTTTCTGTTATTTGGTACAGTTCTTTGTTTGGGATTCTGTAGCACCAGTCCACAGGTTTCAAAGAACGAAGAACTTTGCCAAAACACACTCAGGCTTCATTATTTTCTCTTTATTTGGAGTTTTGTTTGTGATTTTGTCCACATATCCATTTTTGCCAGTTGTTGCTTTTGTTGAAAGTCCTCAAGTGACGTGGTTTCTGTTATTTGGTACAGTTCCTTTGTTTGTGATTCTGTAGCACCAGTCCACAAGGTTCAAAGAACGATAATCTTTTGCCAAAACACTCAGGGCTTCATTATTTTCTTTTGAGTTCCATGTGAATCCATTTTAGTTGTTGCACTCAGGCTTGGTTTCTTTTCTCTTTGAGTTCCATGTCCACATATCCATTTTAATATTGTTTTTGCTGTTGATATCCATTTTAGTTGTTAAGTGATGTGGTTTCTGTTATTTGGTACAGTCCTTTGTTTGTGATTTCTAGCACCAGTCCACAAGGTTCAAAGAACGATAATCTTTGCCAAAACTCAGGCTTCATTATTTTCTCTTTGACTTCCATGTGATATCCATTTTAGTTGTTGCTGCTGTTGAAAGTCCTCAAGTGATGTGGTTTCTGTTATTTGGTACAGTTCTTTGTTTGTGATTCTGTAGCACCAGTCCACAAGGTTCAAAGAACGATAATCTTTTGCCAAAACACTCAGGCTTCATTCATTTTTGACTTCTTCTTCCTTTGACTATGTGATATCCATTTTTAGTTGTTGCTGCTGTTGAAAGTCCTCAAAACACACGTGGTTTCTTTGACTTCCATTTTATTTGGTATCCTCAAGTGATGTTCTTTGTTTGTGATTCTGTAGCACCAGTCCACAAGGTTCAAAGAACGATAATCTTTTGCCAAAAACTCTCTGCTTCATTATTTTCTCTTTGACTTCCATGTGATATCCATTTTAGTTGTTGCTGCTGTTGAAAAGTCCTCAAGTGATGTGGTTTCTGTTATTTGGTACAGTTCTTTGTTTGTGATTCTGTAGCACCAGTCCAAAGGTTCAAAAGAACGATAATCTTTCTGATGCAAAAACACTCAGGCTTCATTATTTTCTCTCTTTGACTTCCATGTGATATCCATTTTAGTTGTTGCTGCTGTTGAAAGTCCTCAAGTGATGTGGTTTCTGTTATTTGGTACAGTTCTTTGTTTGTGATTCTGTAACACCAGTCCACAAGGTTCAAAGAACGATAATCTTTGCTTCAAACTTTTCTCATTATTTTTCTTTTGACTTCCATGTGATATCCATTTTAGTTGTTGCTGCTGTTGAAAGTCCTCAAGTGATTTTTCTGTTATTTGGTACAGTTCTTTGTGATTCTGTAGCACCAGTCCACAAGGTTCAAGAACGATAATCTCTGATGCCAAACACTCAGGCTTCATTATTTTCTTTTGACTTCCATGGATATCCATTTTAGTTGTTGCTGCTGTTGAAAGTCCTCAAGTGACGAGGTTTCTGTTATTTGGTACAGTTCTTTGTTTGTGATTCTGTAGCACCAGTCCACAAGGTTCAAAGAACGATAATCTTTGCCAAAACACTCAGGCTTCATTATTTTCTCTTTGACTTCCATGTGATATCCATTTTAGTTGTTGCTGCTGTTGAAAGTCCTCAAGAAAGTGATGTGGTTTCTGTTTCTTTTATAGTCCACAAGTTCTTTGTTTGATTCTGATATTTTTAGTTCTGTAGCACCAGTCCAAAGGTTCAAAGCAGAATTCAGACCAGTCCACAAGGTTCCTATATTCTAATTTATAGTCAAGATGCAAGTAAAGACACTCAGGCTTTTAGTTCATTATTTTCTTTGAGTTCCATTTGTGATTCCCTCGCATTCCATTTTAGTTGTTGCTGCTGTTGAAAGACCTCAGGCTTCGTGGTTTCTTTTATTTCCATACAGTTCTTTGTATTGTGATTCTAGTAGCACCAGTCCACAAGGTTCAAAGAAGTCGATGCCATCTTTCATTAAACACTCCCATTGATTCCATTTATTTTTCTCTTTGACAAGTTCAGGTTTCCTATATTCTCCATTTTTGTTGTTGATGCTGTTGAAGACCTCAAGCTGATGTGGTTTCTGTTATTTGGTGACAGTTCTTTGTTTTCCCTATGATTAGTGTCTCTCACCAGTCCACAAGGTTCAAAGAACGATAATCTTTGTCTTTTCTTGATGCAAGTAAAGACACTCAGGCTTCATTTCTATTTTTAGTCTCTTTGATGATTCTAAAGACACCAGTCCACTGATTCATCCATTTTGCTCTGATTGTTGCTGCTTTTCTCTTTATAGTTCCTATATATCCTAGTCCTCTGATGAAAGTAAAGACACTCAGGTTTCTATATTATTTAATTTATAGTTCTCTTTGTTTGTGATTTCTGTAGCACCAGTCCACAAGGTTCAAAGAACGATAATCTTTTGCCAAAAAAGACACTCAGGCTTTGAATTTATAGTCTCTCTCTCTCTGATTTTAGTAAAGATGCAAGTCCACTTTAGCTTCCTATATTCTAATTTAAAGTCTCTCAAGTGATGATTAAAGACTGTTAGGCTTCCTATAGTTCTTTGTTTGTGATTCTGATGCAAAAAGACACTCAGGCACCATTTTCTAATTCAATCCATTTTAGTTGATGCAAGGTTCAGGCTTCCTATATTCTAATTTATAGTCTTCTGATGCAAGTAAAGACACTCAGGCTTCCTATATTCTAATTTATAGTCTCTCTCTGATTATTTTTTATATAGTCTTTCTGATGCTTTCCATATTCTAATTTATAGTCTCTCTCTGATATCCCTATATTCTAATTTATAGTCTCTCTCTCTGATGCAAGTAAAGACCCTCAGGCTTCCTATATTCTAATTTATAGTCTCTCTCTCTGATAAAGACACTCAGGTTTACATTCTAATTTACAGTCTCTTTTGTTTGATGCAAGTAAAGAGTCCACAAGGTTCTTCCTATATTCTAAAACACTTATAGTTTCTCTCTCTGATGCAAGTAAAGACACTCAGGCTTCCATTCTAATTTATAGTCTCTCTCTGATGTCCTCAAAAGATGTGGTTTCTGTATTCTAGCAAGTAAAGACACTCAGTTCCTATATTCTAATTTATAGTCTCTCTCTGATGCAAGTAAAGACACTCAGGCTTCCTATATTCTAATTTATAGTCTCTCTCTGATTGCAAGTAAAGACCTCAGGCTTCCTATATTCTAATTTATAGTCTCTCTCTTGCAAGTAAAGACACTCAGGTTTCCTATATTCTAATTTATAGTCTCTCTCTGATGCAAGTAAAGACACTCAGGCTTCCTATATTCTAATTTATAGTCTCTCTCTGATGCAAGTAAAGACACTCAGGCTTCCTATATTCTAATTTATAGTCTCTCTCTGATGCAAGTAAAGACACTCAGGCTTCCTATATTCTAATTTATAGTCTCTCTCTGATGCAAGTAAAGACACTCAGGCTTCCTATATTCTAATTTATAGTCTCTCTCTGATGCAAGTAAAGACACTCAGGCTTCCTATATTCTAATTTATAGTCTCTCTCTGATGCAAGTAAAGACACTCAGGCTTCCTATATTCTAATTTATAGTCTGTCTCTCTGATGCAAGTAAAGACCCTCAGGCTTCCTATATTCTAATTTATAGTTTCTCTGATGCAAGTAAAGGCACTCAGGCTTCCTATATTCTAATTTATAGTCTCTCTCTGATGCAAGTAAAGACACTCAGGCTTCCTATATTCTAATTTATAGTCTCTCTCTGATGCAAGTAAAAGACACTCAGGCTTCCTATATTCTAATTTATAGTCTCTCTCTGATGCAAGTAAAGACACTCAGGCTTCCTATATTCTAATTTATAGTCTCTCTCTGATGATGCAAGTAAATATTCTAATTTATAGTCTCAAAAAGAGGCTTCCTATATTCTAATTTATAGTCTCTCTCTGATGCAAGTAAAGACACTCAGGCTTCCTATATTCTAATTTATAGTCTCTCTCTGATGCAAGTAAAGACACTCAGGCTTCCTATATTCTAATTTATAGTCTCTCTCTGATGCAAGTAAAGACACTCAGGCTTCCTATATTCTAATTTATAGTCTCTCTCTCTGATGCAAGTAAAGACACTCAGGCTTCCTGTTTTTATAGTCTCTCTCTGATGCAAGTAAAGACCCTCAGGCTTCCTATATTCTAATTTATAGTCTCTCTCTGATGCAAGTAAAGACACTCAGGCTTCCTATATTCTAATTTATAGTCTCTCTCTGATGCAAGTAAAGACACTCGGGCTTCCTTTATTCTAATTTATAGTCTCTCTCTGATGCAAGTATAGACACTCGGGCTTCCTATATTCTAATTTATAGTCTCTTCTGATGCAAGTAAAGACACTCAGGCTTCCTATATTCTAATTTATAGTCTCTCTCTGATGCAAGTAAAGACACTCAGGCTTCGTATATTCTAATTTATAGTCTCTCTCTGATGCAAAAGACACTCAAAGAAGGATAAATTTATAGTCACTCTTGATTCCTAAATTCACTCAGGCTTCCTATATTCTAATTTATAGTCTCTTGATGCAAGTAAAGACACTCAGGCTTCCTATTTCTAATTTATAGTCTCTCTCTGATGCAAGTAAAGACACTCAGGCTTCCTATATTCTAATTTATAGTCTCTCTCTCTGATGCAAGTAAAGACACTCAGGCTTCCTATATTCTAATTTATAGTTCTCTCTGATGCAAGTAAAGACACTCAGGCTTCCTTTTCTAATTTATAGTCTCTCTTCTGATGCAAGTAAAGACACTCAGGCTTCCTATATTCTAATTTATAGTCTCTCTCTCTGATGCAAGTAAAGACACTCAGGCTTCCTTATTCTAATTTATAGTCTCTCTCTGATGCAAGTAAAGACACTCAGGCTTCCTATATTCTAATTTATAGTCTCTCTCTGATGCAAGTAAAGACACTCAGGCTTCCTATATTCTAATTTATAGTCTCTCTCTGATGCAAGTAAAAGACCTCAGGCTTTCTATATTCTAATTTATAGTCTCTCTCTGATGCAAGTAAAGAGACCCTCAGGCTTCCTATATTCTAATTTATAGTTTCTCTGATTTTGTAAAGACACCTATATTCTAATTTATAGTCTCTCTCTGATGCAAGTAAAGACACTCAGGCTTCCTATATTCTAATTTATAGTCTCTCTCTGATGCAAGTAAAGACACTCAGGCTTCTTATATTCTAATTTATAGTCTCTCTCTCTGATGCAAGTAAAGACACTCAGGCTTCATTTCTAATTTATAGTCTCTCTCTGATGCAAGTAAAGACACTCAGGCTTCCTATATTCTAATTTATGTGGTCTCTCTCTGATGCAAGTAAAGACACTCAGGCTTCCTTATTTGTAATTTATAGTCTCTCTCTCTGATGCAAGTAAAGACAAGGCTTCCTATATTCTAATTTATAGTCTCTCTCTCTTGCAAAAAAGACACTCAGGCTTCCTATATTCTAATTTATAGTCTCTCTCTCTGATGCAAGTAAAGACACTCAGGCTTCCTAATATATCCTAATTTATAGTTGTTCTCTGAAAGTCTCTCTGATGCAAGTAAAGACACTCTGTTATTCCTATATTCTAATTTATAGTCTCTCTCTCTGATGCAAGTAAAGACACTCAGGCTTCCTATATTCTAATTTATAGTCTCTCTCTGATAATCTCAGGCTTCCTAAATAATTTATAGTCTCTCTCTGATGCAAGTAAAGACACTCAGGCTTCCTATATTCTAATTTATAGTCTCTTTGATGCAAGTTTGACACTCAGGCTTCCTATATTCTAATTTATAGTCTCTCTCTCTCTGATGCAATTTCCTATATTCTAATTTATAGTCTCTCTCTGATGCAAGTAAAGACACTCAGGCTTCCTATATTCTAATTTATAGTCTCTCTCTGATTTGGTACAGTTCTTTGTTTATTCTAATTTATAGTCTCTCTCTCTCTCTGATGTCCACAGGCTTCCTATATTCTAATTTATAGTCTCTCTCTCTGATGCAAGTAAAGACACTCAGGCTTCCTATATTCTAATTTATAGTCTCTCTCTGATGCAAGTAAAGACACTCAGGCTTCCTACATCCATATTTAATTTATAGTCTCTTGCAAGTAAAGACACTCAGGCTTCCTATATTCTAATTTATAGTCCTCTCTGATGCAAGTAAAGACACTCAGGCTTCCTATATTCTAATTTATAGTCTCTCTCTGATGCAAGTAAAGACACTCAGGCTTCCTATATTCTAATTTATAGTCTCTCTCTGATGCAAGTAAAGACAGTCTCAGGCTTCCTATATTCTAATTTATAATCTTCTGATGCAAAAAGACACTCAGGCTTCCTATTATTCTAATTTATAGTTTCTCTGATTTTGAAAGAAAGTCAATGATATGGTATCTCTGTTATTTGGTATATTCCATTTTATAGTCTCTTCTCTCTGATGCAAGTAAAGACACTCAGGCTTCCTATATTCTAATTTGAGTTCTCTCTATTTTAATTTATAGTCCTATATTCTCTTGATGCAAGTAAAGACACCAGTTCCTATATTCTAATTTATAGTCTCTTCTGATGCAAGAAAGACACTCTTCATTATTCCTATATTCTAATTTATAGTCTCTCTCTCTGAAAGCAAGTAAAGACACTCAGGCTTCCTTCCTATTCTAATTTTGGTAGTCTCTCTCTGATGCAAGTAAAGACACAAGTCCAAATATTCAAATTTATAGTCTAATCTCTGATGCAAGTAAAGACACTCAGGCTTCCTTATTTTCTATTCTAATTTATAGTCTCCATTTTGATTGCAAGTTGAAAGACCTCAAGCTTCCTATATTTCTAATTTATAGTCTCTCTCTGATTGCAAGTAAAGTCCCTCAGGCTTCCTATATTCTAATTTATAGTCTCTCTCTGATGCAAGTAAAGACACTCAGGCTTCCTATTATATTCTAATTTATAGTCTCTCTCTGATGCAAGTAATTTGATATCATTTTCCTATATTCTAATTTATAGTCTGATGCAAGTAAAGACACTCAGGCTTCCTATATTCTAATTTATGATGTGTCTCTCTCTTTTAGATTTCCAATTCTAAAAAGTCTCTCTGATGCAAGTAAAGACACTCCCTATATTCTAATTTATAGTCTCAGTCTGATGCAAGTAAAGACACTCAAGTTCCTATATTCTAATTTATAACTCTCATGGCTTCATTATTTTTTCTCTTTGACTTCCATATCCATTTTAGTTCTCTCTGATGCAAGTAAAGACCTCAAGGCTTCCTTTATTCTAATTTATAGTCTCTCTCTGATGCAAGTAAAGACTTTCAGGCTTCCCTATATTCTAATTTATAGTCTCCATCTCTGATGCAAGTAAAGACACTCAGGCTTCCTATTTCTAATTTATAGTCTCTCTCTGATGCAAGTTGTCCAAAGGTTCAAATTCTAATTTATAGTTTCAAGTAAAGACACTCAGGCTTCCTATATTCTAATTTATAGTCTCTCTCTGATGCAAGTAAAGACACTCAGGCTTCCTATATTCTAATTTATAGTCTCTCTCTGATGCAAGTAAAGACCTTTGCTTCCTTCTCATATTCTAATTTATAGTCTCTCTCTGATGCAAGTAAAAAAACACTCAGGCTTCCTTATTTTCTAATTTATAGTCTCTCTCTGATGCAAGTAAAGACACTCATTTTAGTATTCTAATTTATAGTCTCTCTCTTGAAAAGACATTTACCTGCAGTCTCTCTCTCTCTGATGCAAGGCTTCCTATATTCTAATTTATTTCCAGTCTCTCTTGATGCAAGTAAAGACACTCAGGCTTCCTATATTCTAATTTATAGTCTCTCTCTGATGCAAGTAAAAGACACTCAGGCTTCCTATATTCTAATTTATAGTCTCTCTCTGATGCAAGTAAAGACACTCAGGCTTCCTATATTCTAATTTATAGTCTCTCTCTGATGCAAGTAAAGACACTCAGGCTTCCTATATTCTAATTTATAGTCTCTCTCTGATGCAAGTAAAGACACTCCAGGCTTCCTATATTCTAATTTATAGTCTCTCTCTGATGCAAGTAAAGACCTCAGGCTTCCTATATTCTAATTTATAGTTCTCTCTGATGCAAGTAAAGACACTCAGGCTTCCTATATTCTAATTTATAGTCTCTCTTCTGATGCAAGTAAAGACCTCAGGCTTCCTATATTCTAATTTATAGTCTCTCTCTGATGCAAGTAAAGACAAAAGGCTTCCTATATTCTAATTTATTTTCTCTCTCTCTGATGCAAGTGAATCCATTTAGCTTCCTATATTCTAATTTATAGTCCTCTCTCTGATGCAAGTGGACACTCAGGCTTCCTATTTTCTAATTTATAGTCTTCTCTTGATGCAAGTAAAGACACTCAGGCTTCCTATATTCTAATTTATAGTCTCTCTCTGATGCAAGTAAAGACCCTCAGGCTTCCTATATTCTAATTTATAGTCTCTTTCTCTGATGCAAGTAAAGACACTCAGGCTTCCTATATTCTAATTTATCCTTCCTATATTCTAATTGATAGTCTCTCTGTTGAAGCAAAAAGACAAGTTCAGGCTTCCTGTTATTCTAATTTATAGTCTCTTTATAGTCTCTCTGATGCAAGTTTCTCCTATATTCTAATTTATAGTTCTTTCTCTGATGCAAGTAAAGACACTCAGGCTTCCTATATTCTAATTTATAGTCTCTCTCTCTCTGATGCAAATAAAGACACTCAGGCTTCCTATATTCTAATTTATAGTCTCTCTTAAAAGACACTCAAAATTCCTATATTCTAATTTATATCTCTCTCTGATGCAAGTAAAACTCAGGCTTCCCTATATTCTAATTTATAGTCTCTCTCTGATGCAAGTAAAGACCATTTTAGCTTCCTATATTCTAATTTATAGTCTCTCTCTGATGCAAGTAAAGACACTCAGGTTTCTATATTCTAATTTATAGTCTCTCTCTGATGCAAGTAAAGACACTCAGGCTTCCTATATTCTAATTTATAGTCTCTCTCTGATGCAAGTAAAGACACTCAGGGCTTCCTATATTCTATTTATAGTCTCTCTCTCTGATGCAAGTATCAGGCTTCCTATATTCTAATTTATAGTCTCCCTCTGATGTAAGTAAAGACACTCAGGCTTCCTATATTCTAATATATAGTCTCTCTCTCTGATGCAAGTAAAGACACTCAGGCTTCCTATATTCTAATTTATAGTCTCTCTCTCTGATGCAAGTAAAGACACTCAGGCTTCCTATATTCTAATTTATAGTCTCCCTCTGATGCATGTAAAGACACTCAGGCTTCCTATTAAATTTATAGTCTTTTAGTCTCTGATGCAAGTAAAGACACTCAGGCTTCCTATATTCTAATTTATAGTCTCTCTCTGATGCAAGTAAAGACACTCAGGCTTCCTATATTCTAATTTATAGTCTCTCTCTCTGATGCAAGTAAAGACACTCAGGCTTCCTATATTCTAATTTATAGTCTCTCTCTGATGCAAGTAAAGACACTCAGGCTTCCTATATTCTAATTTATAGTCTCTCTCTCTCTGATGCAAGTAAAGACACTCAGGCTTCCTATATTCTAATTTATAGTCTCTCTCTCTGATGCAAGTAAAGACACTCAGGCTTCCTATATTCTAATTTATAGTCTCTCTCTCTCTGATGCAAGTAAAGACACTCAGGCTTCCTATATTCTAATTTATAGTCTCTCTCTGATGCAAGTAAAGACACTCAGGCTTCCTATATTCTAATTTATAGTCTCTGATGCAATGCAAGACACTCAGACACTTAGGCTTTTAAAGTCTCTTTCTCTGATGCAAGTCTCTCAGGCTTCCTTTATTCCCATGGTTTTTTAAAATCTCTCTGATGCAAGTAAAGACACTCAGGCTTCCTATATTCTAATTTATAGTCTCTCTGATTTTAAAGACACTCAGGCTTCCTATATTCTAATTTATAGTATTTTCTCTCTGATGCAAAAAAAACTCAGGCTTCCTATATTCTAAAAGTAGTCTCTCTCTCTGATGCAAGTAAAGACACTCAGGCTTCCTATATTCTTTTTATAGTCTCTCTCTGATGCAAGTAAGACACTCAGGCTTCCATATTCTAATTTATAGTCTATCTCTCTGATGCAAATTAAAAGACACTCAGGCTTCCTAATTCTAATTTAAAATCTCTCTGATGCAAGTAAAAAACACTCAGGCTTCCTATATTCTAATTTATAGTCTCTCTCTGATGCAAGTAAAGACACTCAGGCTTCCTATATTCTAATTTATAGTCTCTCTCTGATGCAAGTAAAGACACTCAGGCTTCCTATATTCTAATTTATAGTCTCCCTCTGATGCAAGTAAAGAAACTCAGGCTTCCTATATTCTAATATATAGTCTCTCTCTGATGCAAGTAGTAGACACTCAGGCTTCCTATATTCTAATTTATAGTCTCTCTCTCTGATGCAAGTAAAGACACTCAGGCTTCCTATATTCTAATTTATAGTCCAGGCTTCCTATATTCTAATTTATAGTCTCTCTCTGATGCAAGTAAAGACCCTCAGGCTTCCTATATTCTAATTTATAGTCTCTCTCTGATGCAAGTAAAGACACTCAGGCTTCCTATATTCTAATTTATAGTCTCTCTCTGATGCAAGTAAAGACACTCAGGCTTCCTATATTCTAATTTATAGTCTCTCTCTGATGCAAGTAAAGACACTCAGGCTTCCTATATTCTAATTTATAGTCTCTCTCTCTGATGCAAGTAAAGACACTCAGGCTTCCTATATTCTAATTTATAGTCTCTCTCTGATGCAAGTAAAGACACTCAGGCTTCCTATATTCTAATTTATAGTCTCTCTCTCTGATGCAAGTAAAGACACTCAGGCTTCCTCTATTCTAATTTATAGTCTCTCTCTGATGCAAGTAAACACCCTCAGGCTTCCTATATTCTAATTTATAGTCTCTCTCTCTGATGCAAGTAAAGACCCTCAGGCTTCCTATATTCTAATTTATAGTCTCTCTGATGCAAGTAAAGACCCTCAGGCTTCCTATATTCTAATTTATAGTCTCTCTCTCTGATGCAAGTAAAGACACTCAGGCTTCCTATATTCTAATTTATAGTCTCTCTCTGATGCAAGTAAAGACACTCAGGCTTCCCATATTCTAATTTATTTCTCTCTCTGATGCAAGTAAAGACACTCAGGCTTCCTATATTCTAATTTATAGTCTCTCTCTGATGCAAGTAAAGACACTCAGGCTTCCTATATTCTAATTTATAGTCTCTCTCTGATGCAAGTAAAGACACTCAGGCTTCCTATATTTCTAATTTATAGTCTCTCTCTCTGATGCAAGTAAAGACACTCAGGCTTCCTATATTCTAATTTATAGTCTCTCTCTCTGATGCAAGTAAAGACACTCAGGCTTCCTATATTCTAATTTATAGTCTCTCTCTCTGATGCAAGTAAAGACACTCAGGCTTCCTATATTCTAATTTATAGTCTCTCTCTGATGCAAGTAAAGACACTCAGGCTTCCTATATTCTAATTTATAGTCTCTTTGATGCAAGTAAAGACACTCAGGCTTCCTATATTCTAATTTATAGTCTCTCTCTGTATGCAAGTAAAGACACTCAGGCTTCCTATATTCTAATTTATAGTCTCTCTCTGATGCAAGTAAAGACACTCAGGCTTCCTATTTTCTAATTTATAGTCTCTCTTGATGCAAGTAAAGACACTCAGGCTTCCTATATTCTAATTTATAGTCTCTCTCTGATGCAAGTAAAGACACTCAGGCTTCCTATATTCTAATTTATAGTCTCTCTCTGATGCAAGTAAAGACACTCAGGCTTCCTATATTCTAATTTATAGTCTTGATGCAAGTAAAGACACTCAGGCTTCCTATATTCTAATTTATAGTCTCTCTCTGATGCAAGAAAGACACTCAGGCTTCCTGCTTCTAATTTATAGTCTCTCTCTGATGCAAGTAAAAGACACTCAGGCTTCCTATATTCTAATTTATAGTCTCTCTCTGATGCAAGTAAAGACACTCAGGCTTCCTATATTCTAATTTATAGTCTCTCTCTGATGCAAGTAAAGACATCCTAGGCTTCCTATATTCTAATTTATATTCTAATTTATAGTCTCTGATGCAAGTAAAGACACTCAGGCTTCCTATATTCTAATTTATAGTCTCTCTCTCTGATGCAAGTAAAAGACACTGAGGCTTCCTATATTCTAATTTATAGTCTCTCTCTGATGCAAGTAAAGACACTCAGGCTTCCTATATTCTAATTTATAGTCTCTCTCTCTGACGCAAGTAAAGACACTCAGGCTTCCTTTATATTCTCTCTAATTTATAGTCTCTCTCTTTATGATGCAAGTAAAGACACTCAGGCTTCCTATATTCTAATTTATAGTCTCTCTCTGATGCAAGTAAAGACACTCAGGCTTCCTATATTCTAATTTATAGTCTCTCTCTGATGCAAGTAAAGACACTCAGGCTTCCTATATTCTAATTTATAGTCTCTCTCTCTGATGCAAGTAAAGACACTCAGGCTTCCTATATTCTAATTTATAGTCTCTCTCTGATGCAAGTAAAGACACTCAGGCTTCCTATATTCTAATTTATAGTCTCTCTCTCTGATGCAAGTAAAGACACTCAGGCTTCCTATATTCTAATTTATAGTCTCTCTCTCTGATGCAAGTAAAGACACTCAGGCTTCCTATATTCTAATTTATAGTCTCTCTCTGATGCAAGTAAAGACACTCAGGCTTCCTATATTCTAATTTATAGTCTCTCTCTCTGATGCAAGTAAAGACACTCAGGCTTCCTATATTCTAATTTATAGTCTCTCTCTGATGCAAGTAAAGACCTCAGGCTTCCTATATTCTAATTTATAGTCTCTCTCTGATGCAAGTAAAGACACTCAGGCTTCCTATATTCTAATTTATAGTCTCTCTCTCTGATGCAAGTAAAAGACACTCAGGCTTCCTATATTCTAATTTATAGTCTCTCTCTGATGCAAGTAAAAGACACTGAGGCTTCCTATATTCTAATTTATAGTCTCTCTCTGATGCAAGTAAAGACACTCAGGCTTCCTATATTCTAATTTATAGTCTCTCTCTGATGCAAGTAAAGACACTCAGGCTTCCTATATTCTAATTTATAGTCTCTCTCTGATGCAAGTGGCTTCCTATATTCTAATTTATAGTCTCTCTCTGATGCAAGTAAAGACACTCAGGCTTCCTATATTCTAATTTATAGTCTCTCTCTCTTGATGCAAGTAAAAAAGACACTTAAAATATTCTTTTTTGTGATTTCTGTAAAGTTGTACAGTCCACATAATTTATAAGAACTCTCTAATCTTTGCAAAACACTCAGGCACTCAGGCTTTTCTATTTGATTCTAATTTATATCTCTCTTTTATAGACACCTCAGGCTGTCTCTCTCTGATGCAAGTAAGACACTCAGGCTTTATATTCTAATTTATAGTCTCTCTCTGATGCAAGTAAAGACACTCAGGCTTCCTATATTCTAATTTATAGTCTCTCTCTATGGATGCAAGTTAAGACATCCTATTCATGCAAAAAAATTCAAAATTTTTTTGAATTTAAAGACCTCTGATGCAAATTTATTAATAAGTCTTCTGATTATTTGGTTAATTAAAATTACTCAGGCTTCCTATATTCTAATTTATAAAGTCTTATCTTTCAAATTTTAAAATTCAAATTTCCTTCTTCACCAAAAAAAAATGTAAAGACATTTAAACTTCCTATATTCTTAGTTTCTGATTCAAAGTAAAGACACTCAGGCTTCCTAATTCTAATTTTATAGAGTTTTTTTTGAAAGTAAAGACACTCAGGCTTCATTAATTTTAGTCTTCACTGATTTTCCATTTCCTATATTTTTATATATATTGCTTGATGAAAGTATATATATATATATGATGTATTTCCATTTTTCTGATTTAAGTAAAGACTTAGTTCTTTGCTTAGCTGTTTTTATAGAAGGAGGTATAAAAACACTTTGATGAAATGTTCAAAATTTTTTGAATTCTGTCTTATTATTTCTGATTTTAGTGATGTATGGATAGCCATATTTACAAAAATTGGCAGGTTTATACATGCAGAAAAAAAATTCAAAATTCTTTTTAAAATACTGTGTACAGTAGCTTTTTGTTTGTGATTCTGTAGGCACCAGTTCTTAATTTATAGGTTCAAAGATGCAAATTTTTTGCCAAAACACTCAGGCTTCAAAACATTTTTTGTCTTAAAATTGAAAGATATCCATTTGGGCTTCCTTGCTCTAATTTATAGTCTCTCCTCAAGTGATGTGGTTTCTGTTATTTTCTAATTTAGTCCTTTGTTTGTGATTCAGGCTTCCTAGTTCACAAGTCTCTCTCTCAAAGAAAAGAACGATAATCTTTGCCAAAACACTCAGGCTTCATTATTTTCTCTTTGACTTCCATGTGATATCCATTTTAGTTGTTGCTGCTGTTGAAAGTCCTCAAGTGATGTGGTTGATTGCAAGTTTTGTTTTTTTCTGTAGCATATTCTAATTTATAGTCTCTCCTTTGTTTAATTTATAGTCTCTCTCTCTGATTCCATTTTAGACACCAGGCTTCCTATATTCTCCTTTATAGTCTCTTCTGATGCAAGTAAAGACACTCACGAATTTAATCTTGCCAAAACACTCAGGCTTCATTATTTTTCTCTTAGTAAAGATATAGTTTTTGCTTGTTGCAAGTCCATGTGGTTTCCTGTTATCCATTTTTGTTTGATTTGTTGCTGCTGTTCTAAGAAAGTCCTTCAAGTGATATCCATTTCTTGTTGCTTGATGAAAGTCCTCTTTGTTTCCTGTTATTCAATTTAGTGATTTCTGTAGCACCAGTCCACAAGGTTCAAAGAACGATAATCTTTGCCAAAACACTCAGGCTTCATTATTTTCTCTTTGACTTCCATGTGATATCCATTTTAGTTGTTGCTGCTGTTGAAAGTCCTCAAGTGATGTGGTTTCTGTTATTTGGTACAGTCCTTTGTTTGTGATTTTGTAGCACCAGTCCACAATTCAAATTTAAGTCTAATCTTTGCCAAAACACTCAGGCTTCATTATTTTCTCTTTGACTTCCATGTTTATCCATTTTAGTTGTTGCTGCTGTTGAAAGTCCTCAAGTGATTTTTCTGTTATTTGGTACAGTTCTTTGTTTTGCTCTCCATTAAGGTTCAAAGAAGAATAATTTCTCTTTCAGGCTTCATTATTTTCTCTTTGACTTCCATATCCATTTTTATTGCTGCTGTTGAAAGTCCTCAAGTGATGTGGTTTCTGTTATTTGGTACAGTTCTTTGTTTGTGATTCTGTAGCACCAGTCCACTTCCTATATTCAAAACGATAATCTTTGCCAAACACTCAGGCTTCATTATTTTCTCTTTGACTTCCATGTGATATCCATTTTAGTTGTTGCTGCTGTTGAAAGTCCTCAAGTGATGTGGTTTCTGTTATTTGGTACAGTTCTTTCTTTGGGATTCTGTAGCACCAGTCCACAAGGTTCAAAGAACGATAATCTTTGCCAAGACACTCAGGCTTCATTATTTTCTCTTTGACTTCCATGTGATATCCATTTTAGTTGTTGCTGCTGTTGAAAGTCCTCAAGCTGATGTGGTTTCTGTTTTATAGTTCTTTGTTTTAAAGATTCTCAGGCTTCCTTGTTTTCAAGAATCTTTCTCTGACACTCAAGCATTTTCCAGTCCCATTTATAGTTGCTCTCTGTTGAAAGTTTCAAAGAACTGATATAGTTGGTACAATCTTTGTTTGGATTTTCTAATTTATAGTCTCAAAGAACTCTGATCTTTGCCAAAGACACTCAGGCTTCCTTATTTTTCTTTGACTTCCATCTCTATCCATTTTAGTTGTTGCTGCTGTTGAAAGTCCTCAAGTGATGTGGTTTCTGTTATTTGGTACAGTTCTTTGTTTGTGATTCTGTAGCACCAGTCCACAAAGGTTCAAAGAAGAATGATCTTTATCCAAACACTCAGGCTTCATTATTTTCTCTTTGACTTCCATGTGATATCCATTTTAGTTGTTGCTGCTGTTGAAAGTCCTCAAGTGATGTGGTTTCTGTTATTTGGTACAGTTCTTTGTTTGTGATTCTGTAGCACCAGTCCACAGGTTCAAAGAAGAATGATCTTTGATGCAAGACACTCCAGGCTTCATTATTTTCTCTTTGACTTCCATGTGATATCCATTTTAGTTGTTGCTGCTGTTGAAAGTCCTCAAGTGATGTGGTTTCTGTTATTTGGCACAGTCCTTTGTTTGTGATTTTGTAGCACCAGTCCAAGGTTCAAAGAACGATAATCTTTGCCAACACTCAGGCTTCATTATTTTCTCTTTGACTTACATGTGATATCCATTTTAGTTGTTGCTGCTGTTGAAAGTCCTCAAGTGATGTGGTTTCTGTTATTTGGTACAGTTCTTTGTTTGTGATTCTGTAGCACCAGTCCACAAGGTTCAAAGAAGGAAGATCTTTGCCAAGACACTCAGGCTTCATTATTTTCTCTTTGACTTCCATGTGATATCCATTTTAGTTGTTGCTGCTGTTGAAAGTCCTCAAGTGATGTGGTTTCTGTTATTTGGTACAGTCCTTTGTTTGGGATTCTGTAGCACCAGTCCACAAGGTTCAAATAACGATAATCTTTGCCAAAACACTCAGGCTTCATTATTTTCTCTTTGACTTCCATGTGATATCCATTTTAGTTGTTGCTGCTGTTGAAAGTCCTCAAGTGATGTGGTTTCTGTTATTTGGTACAGTCCTTTGTTTGGGATTCTGTAGCACCAGTCCACAAGTTTGAAAGAACGATAATCTTTGCCAAAACACTCAGGCTTCATTATTTTCTCTTTGACTTCCATGTGATATCCATTTTAGTTGTTGCTGCTGTTGAAAGTCCTCAAGTGATGTGGTTTCTGTTATTTGGTACAGTTCTTTGTTTGTGATTCTGTAGCACCAGTCCACAAGGTTCAAAGAAGGATGATCTTTGCCAAGACACTCAGGCTTCATTATTTTCTCTTTGACTTCCATGTGATATCCATTTTAGTTGTTGCTGCTGTTGAAAGTCCTCAAGTGATGTGGTTTCTGTTATTTGGTACAGTTCTTTCTTTGTGATTCTGTAGCACCAGTCCACAAGGTTCAAAGAAGAATGATCTTTGCCATGACACTAAGGCTTCATTATTTTCTCTTTGACTTCCATGTGATATCCATTTTAGTTGTTGCTGCTGTTGAAAGTCCTCAAGTGATGTGGTTTCTGTTATTTGGTACAGTTCTTTGTTTGTGATTCTGTAGCACCAGTCCACAAGGTTCAAAGAACGATAATCTTTGCCAAACACTCAGGCTTCATTTTTTCTCTTTGACTTCCATGTGATATCCATTTTAGTTGTTGCTGCTGTTGAAAGTCCTCAAGTGATGTGGTTTCTGTTATTTGGTACAGTTCTTTGTTTGTGATTCTGTTGCACCAGTCCACAAGTTTCAAAGAAGGATGATCTTTGCCAAGACACTCAGCCTTCATTATTTTCTCTTTGACTTCCATGTGATATCCATTTTAGTTGTTGCTGCTGTTGAAAGTCCTCAAGTGATGTGGTTTCTGTTATTTGGTACAGTTCTTTGTTTGTGATTCTGTAGCACCAGTCCACAAGGTTCAAAGAAGAATGATCTTTGCCAAGACACTCAGGCTTCATTATTTTCTCTTTGACTTACATGTGATATCCATTTTAGTTGTTGCTGCTGTTGAAAGTCCTCAAGTGATGTGGTTTCTGTTATTTGGTACAGTTCTTTGTTTGTGATTCTGTAGCACCAGTCCACAAGGTTCAAAGAACGATAATCTTTGCCAAGACACTCAGGCTTCATTATTTTCTCTTTGACTTACATGTGATATCCATTTTAGTTGTTGCTGCTGTTGAAAGTCCTCAAGTGATGTGGTTTCTGTTATTTGGTACAGTTCTTTGTTTGGGATTCTGTAGCACCAGTCCACAAGGTTCAAAGAAGGATGATCTTTGCCAAGACACTCAGTCTTCATTATTTTCTCCTTGAGTTACATGTGATATCCATTTTAGCTGTTGCTGCTGTTGAAAGTCTTCAAGTTATGTGGTTTCTGTTATTCGGTACAGTTCTTTGTGAACGAATTTGTCGCCATACATGATATTCAGATGAAAGTATCGATTTATCGACGTTATTTAAGAATATGTCTCCAGCTTTCAGGCTAATGTTTTGTTCTTGTTGCACTATGCGCTTTTGAGCGACCCCAGCCGGGGCGCACCCTATTCTATATCTAATTTATTTATCTCCTATACTATTTTGTTTTAACTGATCCACATACCCAGGTATCTGAAGTGTTTAGTATTTACTAATTCCACACCCTGAAAGTTTATGATGGATTCAGGGTCGATGCCATCATTGCTTTCTTTCCAATTCCAGATGTTTGTTTCTGTTTTGGGTCCTATTTCTTGGAACTCTTGGGAGACAATGTTGATTTTCTGTTCAAGATCATTAATATCTTATGTGTTGTATCATACCTACGGACGATAATGGGCATGTTCCCATTCACGTAAATATGCTAGTAAATACTGTATATTGGTCTGCAGCTGGAGATCAATTGTGGAATTCACTTGACTCATTTCTAGAAGTTGACTACTACTTCTACGCGACGCTGGCGAATCTTATATGTGTTGTTCTTGTCCTAAGTATTATCGTTCATTACCAAACCTTCGTGTGATTATTCTATTCACTAACCTTTCCTAGGTTCCAACACTATGTATACCTATGTCAACAGCATAGCCTCTTGTCATCATTAGTACATTCGGAGGGAAAGCAGGATCGTTGTCTTCGTTTGGGATGTTGTATGGAATGCTTAAATAATTAGTGCCCATCTCGTTATATCTCTGTTTGTAAATTCGCAGGGCATAGTCTCGGGATATATATATATATATATATATTTATATATATATATATATATGGGGGAAAATGCATTACAAAGTAGAAAAATGTTTTTGTGTGACGCGTTTCGTTTAGGACTTCATCTGACTTACGTTGGTGCGAGTACACATGGATACGGAATATGGTTACTGGAAATCTTAAATTTTATTTATTTATTTTAACATAATCTGGTCAATTTTTTTAGATTCTTTTTCTTTCCATCACTTTTGTTATTAGATATCTCATATTGTGATAATAGAAGATCTGCCAGAAATGGTGAAATGTAAAAATTAGGGCGCAAATTTACTGTCTATAACCTTGCGATCAAGTCACTCTCTAGACATTTTCGTCGCAGTGAATTGCTTTCTCCTTCGATCAGAGTAGCATTTTTTACGTCAACATTAAGGTCGGGCTCGTTATGGTGAGCAACTAATGCATTTGATGCAGTGTTTTGTAAAATGCCACTTTTGTGTTTAATCCTTCGTACTTTTCACAAATATTTTTCTTGATATATATATATATGTATATATATATATATATATATATGCAAATAGGTTTGGTTAAATAATGTAGAAATTTCATGCCGATTTTTGGGCTGTTGTGATCCATTCAAGTTCATGGATTAATTTCTTGGTAGCCTTAGAAAATTGATTATGAACAAAACCAAAATTTTCTTTCAAATAGTTCTTATTTTCCCAAGTACTTTTTCAATCTCATCTGAGACCATCTTCTGGGGGCTGTTGGTTTTTCTACGACGATGCTAACAAAAAGCTTTACTTTCTATTTGGATGATCATTGTTCAATATCACAGCATTTAAAGGAATAATCATGCCTACACTCACTGTTTAGACAGATATTACTTGACAATACATCTATATTACATAAAAATAATTAGCAAAAACTAAAAATACTAGGATCACTTTATATAAAAGAATAAAAGTTCCAAATAAATAAAGTCAACTATGATTATAGAAATAAAGTTCTTAAATATTTGTAGCAGCAAAAATTATATACATATATGATGGACTCTCCCGTCGAGTTCGACGTATGAGGTTCCGACGGCTACCAACTATTTATCTGAATGTCTATGACGGGCATGACTTTTGAGACCGGCTCGACAATTGCACAGAACAGTACAGGGGAAAGTATTGCATGCAAGTGCAGCAGGAACACTGTTAGCTGTCTTATTTCGCTTTCGTGTTTCATGTCGAATTGTGTGGAGCTAATTAGATGTAGTTGTCATAAAACCAACACAATGATCTGCTTAAAGTTGTGAAGGCTTGTGTAGGACAATCAAGATTTTTTGGATCTATCGATAACAAAGTAATAGTACAAAAGTCTTGTTACAGAATCTCCGGATCTATCTATCTATCTATCTATCTATCTATCTATCTATCTATCTATGTCTGTGTGTGTATATATATATATATATATATATATATATATATATATATATATATATATATATATATATATATATATAAGAAAAATAAAGAAACAAATGAAAAGAGTTACCTCCCTTTTACTGTTGAAAAAACACCTGAATTTTGAATTTACAGAAATACAAATACACATTCACAGACAATTTAACGTTGGCGTAATTTATGGCAAAAACAAAGAAAAAGACAATTCATACAATAATGAGAAAAAAAGAAGAGGAGGAAAAATTATGGAACACGATTAAAATATATTTATTGGCAAAATAATTTATGAATAAAAAATAAATAGTTCCAAGTGAGCATAAAATGGAGAAAAATAGTCCTCACGAAGCTCCTAAATGATTAAGGGAGCGAATGAAATGTTCCTTCTTTCTGCACAGAGTCGGTTGATGTAACTTAATATGGGCCGCTTCAAGCAAACGTAAATGCGGAGCGGACGGCCTCTGTGCAAAATTGAAGAATTGTACACATATTTACGCGCACAGTCCAGGTTATCAAGCAAGTGCTGGCCAATGGCACAGACTGAGTTAACCTCAAACAACTCAGTTTTATACAGGCAGGAACATTTTCCTTCCGACGAAGTGTTGTGCGATAGGAGTCGTAAAGGGAAAAATGACTTTTTTTTTTTCAAAACTATATATATATATATATATATATATATATATATATATATATATATATATATAAATTAATTGATTTAAAAATATGGTTTTTTTGCTACACAGTTCTAACCATGTTTTCATTTTTGAAACATGGTTAGAACCGTGTAGCGAAAAAAATATTTTAAATCAATTAATTTATAATATTAATGCTCTGTAAATTTACATTGAGCACTATTTTGTAAAAATAAAAATATCTATAAGAACACCGGATTATATATCTTACTGTTCTTTCTTTATATATATATATATATATATATATATATATATATATATATATATATATATATAAAGAAAGAACAGTAAGATATATAATCCAGTTCTATATATATATATATATATATATATATATATATATATATATATATATATATATATATATATACCGTGTGTAATAGCAAAATTATCCAAATCGTGTAACAGTAAATTGGACAATTGTTAGATTAAGCTTTCATCCATTGCATCTCAGAAATGATTCAAGATATCTTATTGGAATTCTCCGAGGTTTTTTATGAAACTATTGGACTCTACATTGTGCGATGAGAATGTATAATAACTCTCCAAGCTTAACAGAGTAATCGTGACGAAATCGATCATAAACAAAAATGACATGTTCATCGTTAATTAGCCATAGTTAATAATTGGTAGCTCATGAAGGATTAAAATAAAGTTAAAATATATATATATTATTTCAGGATCATTTTCCAACTTATTCAATTTCAACTTTTTTCACTTCTCTTTGGACTGTCATAGCTGAAACTCCTCTCTCACGTGCCAAACGTCTTATGGATTGAGTTGGATCTTTTCTAATTGATCTCTTTAGCTCTAAGTTGAAATAATGATTTCTCTTCCTAATGTGACCTGTTGATCTAGTTTTCCTCTCTACTCTCATTTTAAAATTTATTCACCGTTCTCTGGATGGTTCTTGAATGGATTTGAAGATGGAAGCCAGTGAATGAATGTTGGTGCCATTAATGAAGGCCTGAACTATCATTTTTCCTCTCACAGTGGGGCTGACATAAAAGGATTTTAACCTGTTCTGTTCCGAGTTGAATTATTCAAAGAGTATTTTAGTGATTCTTACAATAAATGGTGTGAAGATGGTTATGTCTTATCTGAAAACATGAAAAAATAAACTCAATTACTTTAGTGCTTTTTTAGATATTAAACATTTCGTGGGATGGACAATTATGCTGTTACACCCATATATATATATATATATATATATATATATATATATATATATATATATATATATATATATATATATATATGTGTGTGTGTGTCCAAATAAGTAAATTATAGTATTGAAAATAGCGATTGTGTAGCGATTTAAAAATGTTTTTATTATAACCTCTTATAATAAAGATAAAATAAAAATATAATATTATATTATATTATATTATATTCTATATATATATATATATATATATATATATATATATATATATGAGGGAATGGTTATAGTTGTGCAAAGGAGAGAAAAGTGTATATTTTAAAGAGAAGAGAGAAGCCGCAAACGTTTTTGGGTTTTAACCCATAGTAAGAGCAAAAAAGTTTGCAGCTTCTCTTATATATATATATATATATATATATATATATATATATATATTATTGCCATAGTTTTCATATATATAATGATGTGCTAAAAACTTTTAGAAAACTTCTAAAAAGTTCTGGAAGCAACCAATAATATATTTGTTCACGAAATTGTGATGATTGGTCATTTAGTCAGGTTTTGGGGAGTGGATTGGGCTGGCAACTGTTCATTGTCTCCCCATATTATAAATTAAAATGTTGACAAAAAAGAAAAGTAGAAAGTGACTAGAATGGAACTAAAGAAAACCAAATTACGAATGGAACTCTTATAAGAAAATACACAGAAAAACGAGACGAAACAGAAAAGGACAAAAAGAGAACCTTATTGCACGAAAAGAATCTTAACATACAGACATCGAGGCAGACCTAGATACCCATACAGAGAAGCATGAATAGCAACATTAAGAGAAAAGACAACAGTAAGCAACAGAAGAAAACATTGCCTTTCCCGCGGAAAGAATTGTAGATATATTGTCGTATGACAAAGCACAGTAAACAGAAGATTTTTAATCAACCATCGCAAACTTAATTGACTTAATCGTTGTTCGAATCTATGGGTGCGCATGCGCATTACTGCTTGGGAGAGAGACCCGGGACGTTAGAAAAACTAGAAAAAAAAAAGAAAAAGAAAAATTACTGACCGCACCCACTGCTACGAAAAGAAATCAATATTTGTTGCGGTCGGCAATCGAAAAGAAAATTAATTACTTTGAACACATTTTATTTTTTGTTGTTGTCAACGCTCTGTTGAATCGGACAAACTCGTTTTATTTATTTCTATTTGTATATTTATTTAGTCTGAGCATCAACAATTGATCATTGGTGGCAGGAAGTGTATACTCCTCCGACATAGAAACGGTTTATTTATTATACGGCAGTTAATTGTTTAGTGCGTTGCCTTTATTGTCTTTAAAATTGCCACCAGCAAAACGCTTCTCCATTGATTAGAATCTAACATTATACACTGAAAATTGCAGATCAAAATTCAGTTAACAGATTACGGACTTACTAAATCAGTGACAAAAAAAAAAAAAAAAAAAAATCCGACGATAGGGAAAAAAAGGAAACAATAATCTTGCTTGTATTTTATTTTTATGGCCGTAAATGCAGCGTAGTGAGGGAGCGACATGTTTAATTCAGATTCCAGTCGAAGTTGCACACAATTTTTATTGATTCGTTATGTACACTTTATCAACTCTTTGCAGGTTATTTGATGACATAAAATATTTTTAGATTGTAAGAATTTTTTTTGATATAATACTGGTTTAGTGTTACAAGCCTTACTAATTAACCCATAGCTGGGGGAGAAGAGGTGGATTCATACCTAATCAGAATCTGATCACTAAACAAGAAATTACCATGTGGATATAAATTGGGGGATCAATTTTATATTACACTCAATATATAAATTGAGCTCCCACTTTGTGGTCAAGGTAGTTTCTATACATATATATTCTAGAGAATGTAAATAAATCTAAAAGACTGATTGAATACGGAGGGAATGTGGGTAGGGTTTGCTACAATGTAAGTGTCATGGCGGGTCCTAGCCGTGGAGTTTAGACATTGAGTGAGAAGCTCGCCATATCCCGCCTGTGAGAGAGAAAGTTGGATGGTGGAAAATAATTCTTCACCAATAAAGACTCGGAGAACCTTTTGAATTCAATCAAGACTGGAAAAGGAAGAATTGATAACTCCTCCCAAATATAGAATCGGTACTTCATTTTTTGACCTGATCTAGCCCTTATAAAGGTAGAGAATAGGATGAGGAGTCAGTTACTTAGTGAAGCGGTACAGAGAGTCAATCCTTTTACCTGTATCGGGTGGATTGGAAAAGACTTCCATTTGAAGTCAGGTGTTAATTTGAGGCCCAATATTCTCTCAAGATACGGTGCCTTCTCGAGGGGTCATCAGTTTGGTTTACAAGGCATTTAATGTATCCATCCGATCCCCTCCCACTGACAAGTTAGTGTTAGAAGAGATATCAGCTGCCAATCTCTGATTGTCAAGAATTTTAGAAGTACCCCCACGTATATCGTCGTATCATCGTCATAGATGTTTACAAAATGATCTGAGTATATTCTTAGGGAGATCATCTATGTAAATCAGAAAGAGGGTTGGTCCGAGAAGTGACCCCTGGGGACGCCTGCGTTGACTGCCAGGGCTTCGGAGGACTGGCCGTTAATAATAACCTTCAGGGATCTACCTGTTAGGAAGGATTTTTATAATCGAGAAAACACGTCCAGTGATTCCATAGCTGGAGAACGTGTGTAGCAAAACTTTCTGACACGCCTTGTCGAAGGCCTTGATATATATATATATATATATATATATATATATATATATATATATATATATATATATATATATGAAAGCGGCAGGCTGTTTCATGCTAGACGCAAGAAGCAGCCAGTCGCCTCTGATTGTTGATTTCAGTGTTCACTTTTATGTTTACATACGCTCTATCTCTGATAGTGAACACTTTATCCTATAAATATAGCACACCTTAAAACTATATTTCTTCATATATATATATATATATATATATATATATATATATATATTCAGTTGCATGGATCTGTTAGATCTAGGTCAGTTGTATGAATATATTAATCTATCACTGATATTGAGCGCTTTCCACTAAGTACTTGTTGTAGCCTAGGGAAGGTTATTGAATAGAATAATCACACGAAGGTTGGTAATGGACGATAATACTTAGGACAAGAACAATATATATAAGATTCGCCAGCGGCAGGTAGAAGTAGTAGTCAACTGCTAGAAGTGAGTAAATTCTACAATGAATCTCCAACTGCAGGATATCTACCACCCGCCCCACACAGTCAGATGTTGTGCAAGGCCGAATTTAATGTGGGGTATCCGAGCCCGTAGGCTCGTCTAAAATTGCCCGTAGACCGCGTATAAAACGGGGTCGGGTAGCTGTTTCCGAGACAAGATTGTTCCCTTCGACATAGCCTCGTCTGGGAATCCTCTCTGCCCGGACGCAGAGAGCTTAACCAGCCCAGCTGAAGACGAATCTCCAACCGCAGACCAACATACAGTATTTACTACTGTATTTATGTGAATGGGGACATATCTATTATTGTCCGTAGGTATGCTACAACAGTACTGCACATACAAGATTATATATATATATATATATATATATATATATATATGCGTGTGTCTTAAAATGCTATGATTCTCGAGGTGTGTGTGTCGTCGAGATCAGTGTAAGCAAGGTGGGCAAGAGCTAAACAGAAAAAAAAGAGGAGAAAGATCTGAACAGCTGAACGAAGCTACAATCATAGATTAAATAAAAGGGTTAAGTTCGAAATTTCTAAAGAAGGCCGGAGAACACAATGTCCGAAACGTTCTAATAATAATAACAAAGATGAAGATAGTAGTCCGAATGTAAATAATATAAATAAGGGTAGTCTTCATCGCAGGATAAATAATAGATGCATATATATTTATTCGCATGAAAATATTTGTTTTGCACATCCGTGGATTAATCTTCCTTTATGTTTAACGTTACTTGGAGATGGCGTCTGGCACTGTCATGACTCCTTTGCCCAAGACACGCTACGTCGACTCTACGACCATACATGAAGATGGTGACTGATGAATACGCTGGAGAACGTTAGCTTCATTCTGTCAAGAAAGAAATTCTGTTAAAAGAAAACAAAGAACAAGAAATCAGAGGTAAAATACTTTTTATTTCATGGAAAGTTTTGGCGTTGTGTTTCTTTCGTGGGAAACGTTGAGAAACTCTTTGCACACGGTTGGGAGCAAATTATCCCCAAATAAATCAAACAAAAGGTAGAATGAGAAATACAGAAGAAATGTTTACATGTATGATAGCAAAATATTGTAAAAATAATAAATATTAGGAAACAACAAACAGAACATATTAAACTGCAAAATAAATCTTTTCAAGTTTGTTCATATCTGTTCATATCTACTCCACACACACACACACACACACACATATATATATATATATATATATATATGTATGCCTGTATGTATGTATGCATGCATGCATGAGTGTGTGTGTGTGTGTGTGTGTGTGTGTGTGTGTGTGTGTGTGTGTTTGTGTGTGTGTGAAAATGCTGAAAAAAGTTCTTGATTTTCCCTACTCCAAAAATCTGATGTTTGGTCTTTTGATTAAATCTTAAGAATTTGGTCGAGCATATAACTTTTTAGCACCCCTTCTTACTCATATCTATCTATCTATCTATCTATCTATCTATCTATCTATGTTCATAGTATGGAAACAAACTGTTTCATATATAATCCTTTACTATTGATAAAATGAATGATATTAAATATCCTGACAAAGTATGCAAGATGGAATATTTGCAAACCAGTTAGATATTTGATATTTTTATTCTGTTGTCAACGTTTTGTTCAATAAGAACATCATCCAAACAACTGAAAAATAACTACAGCCTTTCAAAGTAGAAAAATTTGCCATGGCAATGATTGTTCCTTTAATATTTTCTGTCGTTTTGATGTTTTGAATGAACGAAGCGTTGATAACAGAATAAAAAGAAATAAACATTCAACTGGCTTACATATATCCTATAATTTGGACGAGTATACGTCTTTATTTGCTATAGTTATCAGGTTTCGGGTGTTGTTCCCCCCGGCCTTCGTCAGAAGGTAGTGATATTTTCTAATTTTGAGCCCAACTCTTTATTCAATCCACATGGTTACATGGTTCAATACACAGAGTTCTCATTCAGCTTCCCTTGCTTAGAGGATATTTTGATTATTTCACTCCGATTGATTTTGCCCCTTATGTTGCTAGGGATTGAAATCATGGCTATCAGGATAACAGATATGTTGAACGAATACTTTAATCCACAAGACTAAGGCTATATGTCTGTTGCATGATCCAACTGTATCATTTTGATGCGGATCACCCATTCTTTTTAAATCAGAGGTTCGCATTTCTCTGCTAGATCTACTGAGACAGTTTGAAAGAGCGAAGAAATCACCCAATCCATGTGGATAAAAATATATTTTAATTTAAAATTCCGAGAAACTTATTGAGTAAAACTGACAGCCAAATAAGAGCGAAGCTTTGTTTGAATGTCAAGGCCGAGTTACTCATCTAAAAAAATTAATTATGACTGTTGTTCTATAATAAATATTTAAATTTGTAAGACAAAGTATTAATATTTCGATGCTAACACTAATATTAATCAAATAAACGTTTACCTTTTCTTTTAGACCCTAAAAAAATGACACACCAGGATTATTTTTTCGAGCTTCCATACCTTATATTTTAAAATTGATGAACAAAACCGCAAACTTGTGTGTACCTCTATTTAATATACAGACAGAAGTAAGTATATAATTCTAGATCTACATACATAAACTCGTGTCTCTATTTTTAAATAAAATTCTTATATATTATTTATAATGCACACCTATAATTTCTGTTTTAAATCTTTGCATGCATATTTATATTTGTAAAATACAATTAAGTATGCACACACACACACACACACACACACACACACACACACACACACACACACACACACACACACACACACACATATATATATATATATATATATATATATTTTGTTACATATGACCTTCGATTTATATGTAACCGATTTCCTATTTAATTGTAAATACTATATAGAGGTCAACTTTCTTTTTTTTCGTAGTAATTAATATATATATATATATATATATATACAATGTGGTTTGATATACGCGTAAGTTAAAATACATATAAAGGCGCATATATTTTTTGCAGTAAAATGACACGAAATTTATTATATATATTATAGAATGCATTTCATATATATATATATATATATATATATATATATATATATATATATATATATGTGTGTGTGTGTGTGTGTGTGTTTGTGTGTGTGTGATTGTGTGTATTTGGCGGGTACAACGGTATCTGATTAAAGGTTTTAATATATTTTCCATCAGTTTTTCGATTTTCAATTTTCGAAACTAACACTTTTTCAATGGAAGTTCACGAACACATATGTGTACATAAACATATATATTTTACATGCTACATACGTATAAACAGGCCCTCCCCACAAATATATATATATATATATATATATATATATATATATATATATATAGCCCGCAATCATATATATATTTATGCCTATATATATATATATATATATATATATATATATATATATATATATATGTGTGTGTGTGTGTGTGTGTGTGTGTGTGTGTGTGTGAAAAGTGTGTGTATATAAATATAAATATATATATATATAATTATTTCTATTATATATGCGCGGTACCTATTAGAAAGCGCTCAATATCAGAGATAGAGCTAACATATTTTTGTTGGATTGATGTGAGTTTGTGACCCTGGGTTTCACGTGTTTGCGATCGTCAAACATGTCTGACGATCCTGTCACAAACTCACATCAATCAAACGACATATATATATATATATATATATATATATATATATATATATATATATATATATATATATATATATATCAGGCAGTTGCCTGATGATTGCGGGCTACGTCGTGCATGAACTTAGTATTCAAAGTAGGTCCAAAGAAACACCTATTTATATAATATAACTATATATATATATATATATATATATATATATATATATATATATATATATATTATATATAAGTCAAAGGTTTGTCATTTAGCTGATTGATGTTATCTTCAGCATTCAATAGATGGACTCTCTGGGAATCACTCTGTTCATATGTCAAGCGTATCAGCAATCGTAACTAACATCATTCGTAATTGCATAAAGACTTAGAACGTTATCTTATCTGGACATATACTGAAATAACTGATGTTGTGTCGGTGACAATATTTAAAACAAATTATGAATATAGATGAGAGGGCAGTGTAGCGGTTATTGGTGTCAAAAGTAGAATCGGCGTTCCTAGTACAAAATTCCAACCGATTTCGTTTCGTTCGTTTTCGCTTTGTAAAGGGAAGAATGAAATGTCTCTTCTCGTCCCATCGCATGTACGCGGCTTAAATAGCCGAACAGAATCGGCTCTCTAGTCTTCGTTGACAACAAGTTTCGAACGACTCAGTAGAAAACCGGTTGAGCGTGAGGCTGGCAAATCCGACATTCTTGCTACAGACATCGCAGAAGCAACACCTAACACAGTGTAGCTGTGACCCTATTGTCTACAGAGGTGTCTAAAGAGGGGGAGCCGGAATCGTGAATAGAAATTACTCGTTGATTATATAAGAGTAAGCCATATAATTCTCCAGCATTTAAAAGTTGCAAACGTGAACAAAAATGTATATTTGAAAAACGATTTAAAAACGAAATCAATCGTTGTGTTTCTCATTTGGCACATCGGAAAATTGAAATAATTAGGAAATCATTTTATGTTCCGATCAATTGGTCGTTATTAATTACAGTCTATGATTATTGGGCGGCCTCATTATTCATATTATAAATATTATATTTTAAAACCGCTTCTAATTCATAAACATTCTGATCGAAAAAGAAATATTGTCGAAATTGTATTGAAGCAATAAAATTAGTAAAAGGATCAATATTAAAATAAAAGTATATTTTGATCATTTCACCCCAAGCAAGGCAATAAAGTCACTAAGATGCAAGGGAATACTGAGTGTTAGAGAATGTGAGAACAATTAAGGAGAGGGGACAATAAAAGATAAGAATTAAGGAGAAATTAAGAAAATAAAAAGAAGCAGAATTGACAAATGTTAGGTCATTCTACAAGTGTTACCAGTATGATATATAGGCGACTAAGCTTGTTCCTTCATTAGGCTTTTCTGCTGAGGAGGGTGGATAGACATCCAGCAGAATTAAAAACAAAACTTGTCAAATAGAGGATGAAGCTTCTCACAGGATCAACACCAATTCTAGCACAAAAAGGAAGCCCAAGGCTACGTATGTATCGCTGGAATGAGATTCCTTAAGTGCAATCACCATCGATGGCGGAGGATCTCCCGATAAAATAAAAGGCCACATGTATGTGACAAAGGCGAGCATTCAGGTTAGAGGAAATCGGTGGTGGTTTGATTCGGAAGGATGGGCCTCCACCATGTCTGTTTACCCAAGACAGCATTTTGGCTTTCAACTCAAACATATAATGAGAACAGGTCAGGTGCGCAGCTTCGCAGCGATCCTAAGACCATTAAATGCAAAGCTTAATCGCATTACTTTGTCAGTAGTCTTTGATGAAAGGTCCATCTACGAAACTCTGGAGTCGGGATGCTGAAGATAACACCAATCAGCTAAGTGAGAAAACTTTTACTTGAATAATTCCACACACACACACACACACACACACACACACACACACACACACACACACACGCACTCTCACACACACATATAAATATAGATATAAATATATATAGTTTGGAATGATATATAGATGTTGTTAATATCACCTTCTACAAATCCTCATATTTGCGTCAGTATTAATTGTGTACATTTAAAGGATTGAGAAATTATAATTAAAAAAAAAATAGTGATATATATTTCTAGAAGCAAATATGAATTTCATCTGCTTTCGCCGGGTTTATAAATAAAAAATGATTTGAATTAAAAGATATGTTATTAGATAATTTGTAGATAGAAACGGTAATTCGATAGTAAATGATTATATTAAAAGTAGCCAATATATGATACGGCTAATATAATTATTTGGAGCATGCATAAGTGTTGTAAATTTCTTGCCTATCTGACGAAAACTGGATCAGCAAGTGAGAGTGAGAGAGAGAGTGGGGGAGAGAGGGGGAGAGAGAGGGGAGAGAAAGTCACATTGAATGATTTAGACATTTGGAAAATAAAAAAAAACAATTCTTGCTAATATTTTTTACGGTCAAAATTATACTTCCTTTTTTACCTTGTTTGGAATGATTAAAATTAATGTAAACATAGCGATACAGAGACACACACACGGGCACACAGGCACACACACAGAGGCACCCACACACACTGACACTCTGAGTCATATATACACAAATACAGACACATGCACACGCATACAAACATATTAATACTTTTCTTCTATATGCTAAAATGTAGTGAATGAACACGCACACTGAAAGAAGACATACATATCTATCTATCTATCTATCTATCTATCTATCTATCTATCTATCTATCTATCTTAATCTGTTCATTATCTATTTCTCTCTCTCTCTCTCCCTCTCTCTCTCTCTCTCTCTCTCTATCTATCTATCTATCTATCTATCTATCTGAGTGTGATGACTTTCCCTAACCCCAAAACCTGATGTTTGGTCATTTGATAAGATCTTGAGAATTGTGTCGGGTCTATAGCTTTTCAGCATACTTACTCATATCTATCTATCTATCTATCTATCTATCTATCTATCTATCTATCTATCTATCTATCTATCTATCTATCTTCATACCTCTCTCCCTCTCTCTCTTTCTCTCCCTCTCTCTCTATCTTTCTGTCTATGGATCAATGAAACTTTAGTTGCTTAGCGTGAGTCGTACAATTTCTTATTGTGAAATAAAATTATGTAACTGATGTTTCCCAGTTATTGTCAGGAGTAAACAAAATTTTCAAAATTAGTTTCTGTATTGGGTTTTCGTAACTCAACGTAAACTTGTTGGCATGCTTATCTTCCACTCAATAATAATAATAATAATAAATTCAGGCAAATGCAAGGAAAAGAAAAAGGTGAACAAATCTGCTAAAATCTCGCAGAAGAAATCGAGAAAAGACGTTATTTGATGATGAACGCGACGAGATCTTGCTGGTCAAAATGAGGATGTAGCAAATGAAGACTGAGAAGGAGAAGGCATTTATGCGCGACATGGCATAATTCTTCTTGAGATAGAAAGGAAAAACTCTGGATTTGATGAAAATTTGCAACTCAGAAATCTTTTAAAAAGCCGCCATTGTTCAAGCGTGTTTGTTTATAATACCCTTACCGAAATGGGGCTTAACTAAAATCAGCAGTGCTATTGAGTAGAGTGCCTGAATATTAAGGAGACTTGTTGTCACTTGGTCTTAAGTAAAAGGTACTAGATACTACTGGTAGCAAATGACAATGGGTACAAAGTATAAATAATTAAAAATATCGAGATAAAGGTATTGCTAAAATCTAGAAGAGGATTGAACGAGAACTTTGGGAAAGTCCGGTGCCATTTGATCCCCAATGAGAATTTCTATTTTTACCATAATTATTTCTTTGACATTTCTCGCTTGTGGAAATCTCTATCCACTTCTTACTTTATATTTTTTGTAGGCCGTAATTGACATTCCTCTCAACTACGATCTTCAAAAATATAAACGCAATATCAATCGTTATCTTCTGTCCCCTTGAACTTTTTTCTTTTATTGTTCTCTCAGTAATCCTTTTGCGTCTTAATGGCTTTATTGCCTTGTTTGAAGAGAAAGCGGTGTGAAAATCCATCAAAACATTTATTGAAAGACGCAATAATAATATTAATACTTAAAAGACGAGCGCGATTTCAGCGAAGTTTAAAAGACACAGTGTTTGACAATGTTCAACAATATTTCGACAGTATGTCTGTCTCCAGGTTATATTCAAACATTTTTTAAGAATAATTTTTAAAAGTATTACCTGAAGAAGTTAGACATACTGTCGAAATAATGTTGAACGTCGTCAAACACAGTTTTGTCTTTTCTTAAATCGCGCAATTCTCTTAACTGTTGAAACATATTGGAAGAGTTACGTCAATCATTTTGTTTAATAATTATTATTTCCTTTGATTTTGTTTTGTATAGGCATTTCCTTCCGGATCCCAACCAGAGACCTAAGCTCAAAAATGGCTTCATGACATTTTCCACTGATCATTTTTTAGAAACTAGGATTATTATTATTATCTTATTATTATTATTATTATTTTCGTTCCAGACAGAATGATAACATTCTATAAGCCGGATATAATTATTAAAGATTTACTGAAAATATTTATTCGTTGAGGCAACAGTTTTTTTGTTGATGCCAATATTTCAGTCAAATTGTCCAACCAAATATGCAAATACAAAGAATTTAGAAGTTAAAATTCAGAAGATATGCTGTCTGAAAACTCAAAAATGTTGATTGTTATTGGTGCACTAAGGAACCACGTCCCAAATTATATGAAAAATAATGGTGAACCGATTTTGGCTGAAATGCAAAAGATTGCACTTATTGGGTACTTCCCATATCCCAAGGAGAGTTTTTATCAATGTAACATGTTATGGATATTTACTAATAGAATTTGCAGGCATATTCTCACCTATCCATGGAGCCTTACACATCTTGTAATGGTTTCTTCTACATATTTTGAAGGTTCTTCTGTGAATTTTCTGAATTTTACGCATGTGACATATAATCTAGCTCTTCAAACTTTCCTTTTAATCTCTTTACAAATTTTATCTATACATAGACATAGACGTTTTAATGAAAGCTTATAAACTTTCCAATGACGTCATATAGAAACATTACGCTGGGAATGTCAGCTCCATATCCAACCAACTGTCTCAATAATCAGGATCTGCTGATTTGCAGTCTCTTGGGGTTTCAGATTGTAACTTGGAGGCTGATCGTGGAACAAATACGCTGATTCTAATAATAATAATAATAATAATAATAATAATAATAATAACTCGCTGTTCAGGTCCAATCCTTGCTAAATAGAATACTGAAAAATCGTGTTAGCCCAAAATGCAGATTCCATGATAAATATCCAGAAACAATTGACCATCTTGTATCAGGTTGCGCGTTATTGGCACCCACTGAATATAAAATACGGCTCAACGGAAATGGCCAATATCTGCACTGGAAAATCTGCAACACTTGTGGAAAGAAAACTGAAAGAAATTAGTATGAACACCAGCCAGACAAGGTTACGGCGATAGTTCTGTGACAATTTTATGGACTTTACAATACACACAGAGAGAACAATCAAAGCTAATCGCCCTGACATCGTGATTAGAGACCGCAAAGACAAAATATGCCGCCTTATTGCCATGACAGTCCCCTGCAGGCTGCAATGTATCTTTGAAGATCTTCAAAAAAACTATCAAAATACAAGGACCTTGAAATCGAAATCTCAAAAATTTGGCCCTGAGGACATTAATAATTCCAATTGTAGTTGGAGCCCTCGGATTGATTGGAAAAGATTCCAATAGACTGATTGACGGGATTCTTGTCATCCCAGGCTTGAAATAAATACAAAACATTGTTCTCACGGGTACGGTCCATATTCTTTCAAATGGCTTGATCTATGTATGCGATTTTTTTTTTCAAAACTGCTCAGTGGAAAATATCATGATGTCATTTCTAACCTTAGATCTCTGGTAGGGACCCGGAAAGAAATGAGAAATCAAAGGAAATAAAACAATGATATAATAGGAAGAGTCATAGATTGGGAACTGGGCAAACGATCGGGTACACAGGTTAGCGGATGAAGCACTGCACCCTTGCCGGGAAGACGCGTTTTTGGTAGTTATAAAGAAAGAAAAGTGGGCCGGCCTGATTTACGATTGGCACCTTGCAGCTAGAAGTATAAGATGAAAAGAAAAGAAAGAGGAAATTGGGACAAACAGCAGGACCTATCCTGAGAGCTACTACAAGAAACATCGAGGTTACTGTCGTTCCGTTAATACACACACACACACACACACACACACACACACACACACACACACACACACACATATATATATATATATATATATATATATATATATATATATCAGAGCAATAAATACAGACATATTAAAAGAGCAGTATACATTAAGTCGGACCAACCGACTCTCTGTAAACTGTGTTTAAAGACAATTAACCTTTAATGTTATATTTGTTGTTTGCACATGACATTAGTCTGGGTTGTATATATATTAGTCACTGTGCACGATTTTTTCTTCTTCTCGAGTTTTGCTCTGATGAGAGAAGGCCAAGATAAAGCGGTTTAATTGTTTTTATCACTTACATTTCGGTTTTACCAATTTACGGTAATATATATGTTTGTTACCCATCTCTTTCCATTACACCTGTGCTTTGAATATATTTGTTTTTATTTTGTCTAATAAAATTTTATACACCTGCTAGAATAGTGTAATTTTTTTCTAATAAGATTTAGACTAAAATAAATAAATATACAGTTTAATAAATAAACGGAGCGTCTACTCAAATACGAGTATCCATTAAAAATAAAGTTTTAAATGATACACCCCCATATATAATAATAATAATAATAATAATAATAATAATAATAATATATATATATATATATATATATATATATATATATATGAACCTAAAGAGCCAGGTAAAACTACTTAGGTTTCACCTATACGGATCATTAAGGACTCTGACGATCCGTATAGGCGAAACCAAGGTAGGTTTTGAAGGGTTTTTTCTTTGGACTCTGAGCTTGAATTCTGGACGATTGTTTTCGCCTCAATTACATGTTCTTTTTTTAATCCCTGGGCATTTGTTTGTTCAAAACACCTAAAGTTTTTCCAAACAAGTATAACTATAACTATATATATATATATATATATATATATATATATATGAAAAGACATATATGACACTATATATGTTTATATATTATAATATTTTGGAAGCAATTATTATATTTTTAATCGGAAATTATTTCGCGAAGAGTCATAACATCATTTTTAACCCGCACAAGAAAATCCAGAAAAGAAGATTATGGATTAGACATGGATTAGCTATGGTAGGCACTGAAATAAGACCCTATATCAATCCAAATATGCTTGCCAATGTCCGCTGGGATCTCGTGCGAAAAAGATCAGAGAAAGCTACATATAAGATAAAATGCAATAACCCATCACCCAATCAAAGCCGACGTAAAATGGAAATAAATTATATGATAGAGGATGAGATAAAAACGCAAATAAAATAAGATACGAAGTAATACTTTCGCGTTAAATAAAACTTAAGAATCTACTTGCGACATAAACAACAGCAGTTATACAGATGATGTCACTGAAGATGAATCAAACGAAATTAGGGCAGAATTCGTTGAAAACAACAGAAAACAACAGCGGTGAAATCACTGAAGCGAAAAGCCACATCCTTCAATTATTCAGCAGAGTAACTCGCACACAAATGTCATACACAGATCAGCTTCCATAAATTTATATGACAAAGTCCCCAAAAAATTATTATACAACGTTGCACTGCAAACACTGTTAACAGACAAACCACTGGAAAACATCACAGAATTATATAATGTCATGTACGCAACAGCTTTAGAAGTTTGGCGTCAAGACAAAGAAAATATTAAACAACAGATAAAAAGAGCCAGTTCGGAAGGCAAAATTAAAGCGAGTAATGGAGGAAATTGGATTTTAATCATCGATACTAGATAAGTTTTGAAGAAAAGCAAATGTTTCAACAAACAAAAGAAGGAAGATCAAGCGGAAATATAAAATGAAATTAGTAAATGAAATTCTACCCATCAAGGAAATACTTAA